ATTATCTATTTCATATTTCAATTTCTACATTATGAAGATATTTTTATGTCCTGCAACACAGTTTTTCGCTCAAATTTAAAATGAAACTAGAAAAAAAATCTGCATATGACAGAGGAAATAACTGTTAATAAATCACACTGTGATTTATGAACTCTTGATGAACTAAAGGAGGCCAATAAAACTCAGGGTTTAGATGATGAGCATAAAATACTTGAAACTATGGATTTGCAATTTGCTACACTTGGGAACCACTAGTAGGTTCTTGTTTGCCCTTCAACATCAGGTATTTAACATTTGACAGCAACTTGACCAAGTTAATACAGCACCTCAACAGCACACACAAGAAAAGATGTAGAGAAAGGTGGTTGTAGAGGGAGAAGCAGAGGAAAACAGCCCTGAGAAAGAAATAATGTGGAAAATAGATGTACAGAGAAATGTGATATATATAGGTCGTGAGACTTAAAGAATTACAGACAATGTTCCAGATTATATTACATTATGTGGTTGGTTACACAGCTACTGCAACCAAACAACCAGCTTATTGGAAGTCAAATGTTTGACTTATCTTTCTAATTTCCTATCATTGCTGCATTTATGCAGAACTACTACGTGGAACCTTAGTGCATAATGATAGAAAATAGGAATAAACCAGTAACACAATTCGTTATGGATTCAAGAAGACAAAACGAGAAACAAGACAAAAGAAACAGAATCAGCAATAAAACCTCACACCACAAAGGGCACTGACAGAGGTTGGAATGCCCACAGTTTCAAATCATGAGAACTCTAAAACCTCTTTTGAATATCAGGATGAAAGGTATTGATAAAAGTTAGCAGTACCCATGATATGGAAATCCACAAACAGGTTTCGTGGGCATCATATCTGGAATATTGACACTGGTAAGTAAGACTTAACTGGCATTAGACACATATGCATGAGTGTGTTTAATATTTGCAAAATGGTGGTGCAGGTAAACTGACCACTGTGTACTAATGAAGTGAAAATCAACCACACAACAGAGATAAAATGTTGAAATGGCCTTCACAAATAGAACAATAGCATAGCCACTCAATTTGATGAATAATACACCAATACCATTACCCAAAAGAGAACATTCCACTTTGTTACTTCTTACCATTCAGGAAAAGTGTTTCATAGATTGAAATCAAGCTGTACAATACTAAAAAAAAAGTTGTATTTATAGATTGTCAACCCATTTAAAATAAATAGAATAATAATTCATTAAAATAACATACAGAGAAACAGAATTTATCATTAAGATTGCAAAGTATAGTTTCCATCCATAAATTAGTGTAATTTGTTTCTGTCAATTCTTGCTTATAACACTGGAGGGTGCTCCTTCTATTTTACTACTGATTTTTAGATAGGTATCTTCATCATACATTGATTATACTATTAAAGCACAAAACTTCACAATGAATATAGATTTAGATGTTGGAAATTAAATGCAGTTTCAGAGATGGTTGGCCAACACAAACCTGTATTTTTTTGTTGTTCTATGCTCTGGATTCTGGCCATAAATAATTTTACTGTGTATTGTTTGCCCTCCATTTTCTGGCCTATAAAAACATTACAGCCTGCCAAGCACAGCAATGGTAGAAAGACACAAAAGTTGGGAGTGCTTCACTTTAGTGGGGTCACCCAGAAAGGTTTAATATTTGACAAGGAACGTAACAGTTTTCCCTTAATTTGGTGTGAAATGTTAGTGATAGGGAATATGCTATGGAGAGCTAGGAATTTGGACACACTAGGGATTTCCCAAAAGACTACTGTTTCTGAACATACATGGCAATCAAGACAACGTGAAATATGTTCTCACATGGCAGAGTTAAAAAAAAATCAAATGCTGCTAATCTCAGAAACTTAAGAGGAATCTTATTTCTACTCGAGGGCAATAACAGTGACAAAGAAGCATTAAAGCAGCAACATGGTAGGACGGGAATATTGTTACCAATAAATGTCTGCCAACCTTCATTTCCAATCATCCTCCCCACCACCCAGCCCCACTGCCAACATTCCCGGTTTTACAGCTGATGGCAATTCCTGAAGAGACTTACCTTTTAAGGCTCCCATTCTATTAGGAAAATGTTTCATTGTCACTGGCAATATGGAAAGCCACCATGTGGTTCCTCAGGAAATCTTGTAGATCAGCATCCACACAGGGCTGGGATGCCGATTGGGACCATTAGTATTAAATGTAAAGTCACGGAGATCAAGTTTGCATGGAAAAAAGCATTTCGACAAATTTTCAATCCATACCTTCCGTGATGGTTTTAAAATATAAAATTAACTCACAATCCTCAAAGTTTCCCCTATTTTGCTCTAAGCCATATATCACCTTTAGTGATCTCTTTCTGAAAGTGGCTGACAGGAGACACATAGAAGAATGTCAGTGATGAGGCTTTTTCTACAATCATAGTTCCTTCACTGTGGCTGGGTCAAAATCCTGGAATTCCCTCGCTAATAGCATTGTGGGTCAACGTACAGCAGGAGAACTGGAACAGTTCAAGAAGGCAGTTCACCACCACCTTCTCAGGAGCAACTAGAGATGGGCAAGAAATGCTGGCCAGCCAGCGATGCCCACATCCCATAAATGAATAGAAAAAAATATTTAGCATCAAAATCTAGAACCATATCCGAGAGAAAATAGAGATAAATTACTATTACATCAGATCACAGCTGCATTATCTATTTCATATTTCAATTTCTACATTATGAAGATATTTTTATATCCTGCATCACAGTTTTTCGCTCAAATTTAAAATGAAACTAGAAAAAAAATCTAGTGGTCCGCACTGATAGAATCCTCAAAGATTTAACATTATGAGGAAAGGAGGAGTAGGTCAAATTCATGTCCCGCCGCTGTAACATTGCCATGCATACAAAATGAAAAGATTATTGTCTGGAAATAAGACCACAGCACATAAATAGAAAATTGCCAGAAGTCAGTTTAAGTTCTTTGATTTCAAGCAAATGTAAGCAATGAAATCAACACTATCCAACATGATCGGTTGATAATTTGAACTCTCAACACATAAGTTGGCAATTAAAAATTATTAAGCTTATGCTGTACCAGGATTGTGATAAACTACTTGCTTTAAGTGCATATTACACAGGACTATGAATGTACTGTCCTTTGACTAGACTTACGGAATGCTGTGTAGAGTTCCTCTAATGTCAACACCCTGTCATTATTGTAATCATCGTACTGAAGAAGATCAAATAGATTGCAGTCAAATGGGTCATTATCAAGCGTATCTTGTGTCATTGCCTGTCAAAATGAAACATGCCTTGAGTGAACTCAAACAACAAATGTTTAGATTTTACAATCAATTTAGACAAGTATGAATATTTGATCCTGAAACATGATCAGAATCTGGACTAAGAATTATGTTTCCCCTTGATCTTCTTCAAGAACATGCTCTGCAGCTCTCCCAACTGAAAAATAGCATATCTATCATTCTTAATCTTCTGTATCTGCCTGTTAGGAGTTTCATTAGAATAGTCCTAGATAGTGTATCTCTTCTGGTTTCTGAGCAGCAGGGTTTTTGTCTCTTTTTTGGATAAGACTGGGAATTAATTTTACAATGAATCACGTTGCAATCAGAAAGCTACATCTACAATATGTGAATTAATTCATAGCACCACTAGATAGCCCTGTACACTGTTTGCTTTAGGTAGATTCCAAAAGTTCTGAGGATGGTAATATTGTCAATATTCTACTTAATGCAGGCTTTGAGAACTTTAAATCAGTGTTTATTTTTAACAGCAAAAGCAGGAATTTTTTTAAAACCTTACAATACTTGTTCCACACTGCAGTATCTTCCATTATATTGTTCTTTCGTAGCTCCCATAGTCTATTTTTAATCATCCTCACAAATGCACATTCTGTCTATTTTTCACACCCTCTTTCTCACATTCCCACCCTTACATATATGCATATTAAAGCCGCAGTGGAGAGTTCCAGCTCAGTACAGCTCAAACTAATTTTATTCTCAGCACATAGAGCCATATGTCTTTTCTGTCTTTTGTCCAGATTTCTATATTCCCATATTTTAACCTACAAATAGGAACCCTGGTAAATACTTCTTTGCCTAATACAGGGAAGCTAAAAGGAATCTGAAGAATCACACAGCACAGAAGGCCACTTGACCAATTGTACCTGTGCTGGATCTTTGAAACAGCTGCCTAGTTAGTTTCATTCACCTGCTGCCTCCCCCTAGGGCTACTGTTTTTTTTCAATTTCAGCATATATTCAGCTCTAACTTTGTAAGTCACTATTGAATCAGATTCCATCACCCTTTCAGACAAAATGCTGAAGATCATAACAACTCTTGATGGAATTCTCACAGAAAGCTATTTGGAATAAGGACAAAACTGAAAGGAAGACAGCAGCATGAATGAATGAATCACAATAAATAGGAACCAAAAATAATCTGTGCCATTCAATAACGCAATCTGATTGGCAGTACATATTGATTCTCATTGATTGAATTAAGTATGGCCAGGCTAGATATCTAAAATCTGTAATTTTTGACTCATTTAATAGTACTCTTTGAAAAAAGATAAATATTGTGGATACCATTAGGGTTTTAAAAGACATACATGACTTGTTGATAATCCATGGCAAAACAGAGAACAGATTGGTCAAAAGGCAGAAATTAAATAAGCGTTATGGATGATTATTGAATGAGTGGGATGCGAACCATGTGAGTCTCACTGAAGGACCATATAGATATTTTGTTTTTATCCCTTAACCCTGTTAGGCACCTTTACATTTTTCTATACTAAGGTGTTGGATAAATAAAAGTTACCTAAAAGAGAGTAGGATCTTTGCACCAGAAGCAAATGCAAGCAGTAGGTAGCTATGAGAATGATGTTACAGGGGCTTACGGGAGCAACTGAGTTCATTTATCTGTTGAATCACCAGCTTTGCACTGATTGAGAATGTCGAGTAGCATTGGTTTGTTAGGCTTTACGTGACCACTTCCTGCTCAGATCAGGAACTTGGAACTCAAACAAGCCGTGTCAACTTTATAAAAAGGATTCCAGCAGAAGAGCCCTTTTCTATTGGAGACCCTTTGACATGGATAGGTCGACAGAAAGTCATAAATCCAGCAATTCTTATTGTTGCAGCAGACCTCCCAGACTTGCAGAAATGGATGGAATTCAAAACTGTAAAATGCCATGGTGGTGAAATGAACACTTTAAAATGGATGACAGCAAACAGGTAGCCCATTTTAAATCTTTTCAGATTCATTGGAAATAAAATTTGGCAGAAAGGTAAAGTGAGTTGGCAATCTGCTACCATGCTTTTGTTTTAGACTGATGTATTTATATAATAAAGCACAAGGACATTATTAAATGTGGATATAGCTCTCATTATGCAGAATTTGTGTCTGTGACAAAAGTGCAAAATTTGGTGTCAGGTTTGTCATAAACTGATAGTTCTTTCTGAGGTGGCAAAAGGATGTTACAACTGGTCTCAAGGAGTTAAGCTGTAGAAGAGTGGATGGAAAAAACTAGTTAGAATTCCAGGTCCTAAACATCTTCCACAAGTTACATCAGGAAAGCTATGAGTGCATATACATGTGTATGCATGGAGGGGAGCCAAGCTCTTGATAAAAGTGTGAGGGCTTCCGTTGGTAAAGAAGTTAACAGTAAATAAATGGGATAAAATTTGATCTTCACTGCTTCAGCCATATTCGGTGAATTATATTGCTTATCTGTGATTAAGTCTGCCTAAATTTCACTGCACAATAATAAAAAAAGCAAATCTACCGCTATAACTGCATGGCAGAACTTCAGAATGAATCAGGAGATTCAATTAAGATGAACATTAAATAGATGATGGTGGAACAGTTCAGAAATACCAAAATTAAAAATTTAAAGGTATACTTTCTGGTGCTAATTTTTGTCAGAAAGTAAATGTGACTGGAATGGGTTGGGTTTTCTCATCGAGATTTCAGGACATCAGTGTCAGGAGCAAATGTGGATTCCAAGCCTGAGCTTGGTGATAGTGAGATCTGTTGGACATTCTTCCCGGAGATAGATTTCTCAGTAACAGCTGACGTGTTCACCTTCCAAGCCTGTCTATTATACTACAACCCCAAAGATGGGTACAGTAGGCCAGAGTCCGGACAGACACTCTCAATTGGCACTGCAGCCAACATATTTGGCTGCCACTATCTGTGAAGATACCCCTTGAACTTTTGGAAGCTTTCCTGTAGCAAGAATGCACTCAAAGCCATCCTAATGCAGCTGCCCCCAAGTTTTCTACTTCTTACTTTCTCTGCTACCTCAAACTACTTCTCCACTGGTCTGGGAGGTTACCTATTGTATAGGCGCATCTACTTTTTTTATTAGCATTAGTAAACAGTAATTTTTCAAAAAATCACTTCCTTGATGGCAATATAGTATTAGACTGATTAGCCCACAGAGTTAGTGTTCAAATCCCATTGTAGTATATCTTGAATCAATCCAATAAATTTGGTCATTTGCAAGCTTATTGGATTATTGTAAAATCTCAAATGGTTCAATAATATTCTCCAGGAAAGAAAACCTGGCGGCCATTATGTCCCAATCAACATACAACTCCAATTCCACACTACATATAAATGTTGAATGCCCTCAGATAACTAATATAACCAGGAATGAACAATGAATATTGGTGTTATTTATATCTCAATAGTAACCAATGCAAACAGCTGGTGCCAAATTTTCTGCTTTGTATCAAATTCTCAAAAAGTTGACAAAGATGCATTCCAAATGATAGTCTTTCAACTCAACATAGAGAGAAACAGAGTGAGAAAGAAAAAGAGAGAAAGAAAGAAAGATTTGTATTTATATAGCATTTTTCATGAAAACTGATCATGTTAAGTGTGTCACAGTCAATTAAGAACTTTCTGAAATGTAGTCCTATTGTAAAGTGTGAAACATAACAGCCAATATGTACACAGCAACCTCCCACAAACGGCAATGTGATAACGACCAGCTTTTTTTTCGTGTTGTGTTGATTGAGGGATAGATATTAACAAACACCCTGGGAATAACTCCTCTGTTAATTTTTGAAACAGTGTCATGGGATATTTTACATCCAGCCAAACAGGCGGATGGGATCTTCGTTTAACTTTTCACTTGAACAGTGCTATGCTCTCTCAGTAGCGCACTGGAATGGCAGGTCTGAAGACCGTGTTCAAGCCTGAAACTGAACTTTAACATGGATCTCAGATATTGGAGAGGTATCAATTGGGTAAACAGTCCAATGAGGATTTAAGAAGAAATTAAAGTCAAATAAATAACCAACAAAAATTTTACATTGAAGTTCACAGAACACAACACCCACCTGTGCCAGTTCACTGTTGTCTATAAGTCCATCCCCACTAGTGTCAAAGTACTTGAACATATTCTCCACCAAAACTCTCTTCAGTGTTGTTGTCTCCATTGTAATATTTTCTTCTTGGAAATACCTTCGACTCTGTAGGTCCAGCAACATGCTTTTCAATCTGCTGTAGTCTGCCAATTTACACCGCCCACCTACAGAAAGGGCAAAGTATTCCAAAATAATGTATGATTATTTTGTTGCAGATCAGGTGAAGATAGAGATTAGGAACTTCTCCCATTTGGATAGAACCAAGGGTCAAATTTGCTCTAATAGATTGAAAATATGCTTCCCTCTACTGTTCTATATCGTTCAGGAAGAGCACCTAAGTTTGGGTGCTATTGAATTGTGGGTTCAATATAAAATGCTTTGTGTTGTAATGACTGATTGCAGGTCTATGCATACAGTAGTTTCGTTTATTGACCATAGCTGTCATGGTGACGATAAAAGAAAAAAAATCCCACAAAGTCACTCCCACACACTTTCTGGTGATGGCATCGCCATTAACACAACTCCTTGGTTACTGGATAACCTAGAAAGTAGACTAGCAACGAATTTAATATTAATTTTTCAGCATTAATATCAGATTAACAGTTCAATTCAAAATAAACTAATGGATTAATCTACTTTTCATGTTATTTTCAGATGAATTTATGGTCAATAAATTCCTTCCAAGTGGAAGATGATAGCCTTGTGACATTATTGCAAGACTATTAATCCAGAAATTCTGCTGATGTTCTGGGGAGCCTGTTTTGAATCCTGCTGATTAAATGTCGATTGTTAAAAAAAAAAAATCTGCCTCACTAATGTATTTCAGGGAAGGGAATCTGCCATTGTCACCTGTCCTGGCCTACATGTGACTCCAGAGCCACAGCAATGTGGTTGACTCTCAACTGCCCTCTGAAATGGCCTAGCAAGCCACTCAGTTGCAACAAACGCTACAAAGTCTCAACAAAGAAATGAAACTGGATGGTCCACCTGGCATCGAACCAGGCACCGGAGAAGATAACGACAGAAACAGCCCTGTCGATTCTGCAAAGTCCTCCTTACTAACATCTGTGGGCTAGTGCCAAAATTGGGAGAGTTGTCTCACAGATTAGTCAGGCAACAGCCTCATGTAGCCATACTCACAGAATCACACCTGATAGACAATGTCTCACACCACCATCACCATCTCCAGAAATGTCCTGTCCTACTGGCAGGACAGACCCAGCAGAGTTGGTGGCACAGTGATATACAGTCAGGAGGGAGTTGCCATGGGAGTCCTCAACATTAAATCCAGACCCCATGAAGTCTCATGGCTTAAGGTTAAACATGGGCAAGGAAACCTCCCGCTGATTACCATGTACTGTCCTCCCTCCCATGTACTATTAATGAATCAGTATTCCTCCATGTTGAAGAATACTTGGTGGAAGCACTGAGGGTGGCAAGGGTGCAAAATGTACTCTGGGTGGGGGACTTCAATGTCCATCACCAAACATGGCTCTGGAGCAGAGATAGTAGGAACTGCAGATGCTGGAGAATCCGAGACAACAAGGTGCAGGGCTGGATGAACACAGCAGGCCAAGCAGCATCATAGGAGCAGAGAGGCTGACGTTTCGGGCCTAGACCCTTCATCAGAAAAGGGGGAGGGGAAGGGGGTTTTGAAATAAATAGGGAGAGAGTGGGAGGCGGATAGAAGAGGGATAGAGGAGAGGATAGGTGGAGAGGAAACAAACAGGTCGAAGAGGCGGGGATGGGGCCAGGAAAGGTGAGTGTAGGTAGGGAGTTAGGAAGGGGATAGGTCAGTCCAGGGAGGACGGACAGGTCAAGGGGGCGGGATGAGGTTGGTCGGTAGGAGATGGAGGTGCGGCTTGAGGTGGGAGGAGGGGATAGGTGGGAGGAAGAACAGGTTAGGGAGGCAGGGACGAGCTGGACTGGTTTTGGGATGCGGTGGGGGGAGGGGAGATTTTGAAACTTGTGAAATCCACATTGATACCATTGGGCTGCAGGGTTCCCAAGCGGAATATGAGTTGCTGTTCCTGCAACCTTCGGGTGGCATCGTTGTGGCACTGCAGGAGGCCCAGGATGGACATGTCGTCTGAGGAATGGGAGGGGGAGTTGAAATGGTTCGCGACTGGGAGGTGCAGTTGTTTGTTGCGAACCGAGCGTAAGTGTTCTGCAAAGCGGTCCCCGAGTCTCCGCTTGGTTTCCCCGATGTAGAGGAAGCCACACCGGGTACAGCGGATGCAGTATACCACATTGGCAGATGTGCAGGTGAACATCTGCTTGATGTGGAAAGTCTTCTTGGGGCCTGGGATGGGGGTGAGGGAGGAGGTATGGGGGCAGGTGTAGCACTTCCTGCGGTTGCAGGGAAAAGTGCCGGGTGTGGTGGAGCTGGAGGGGAGTGTGGAGCGGACAAGGGAGTCACGGAGAGAGTTGTCCCTCCGGAAAGCAGATAAGGGTGGGGAGGGAAAGATGTCTTTGGTGGTGGGGTCGGATTGCAGATGGCGGAAGTGTCGGAGGATGATGCGTTGGATCCGGAGGTTGGTGGGGTGGTACGTGAGGACGAGGGGGATTCTTTTTTGGTT